GAGGAAGAGAAGTTGACTGTGACCAACATTGGTTAACTGTTAGTCAACCGGGTAATTTGTAGTGTTTGGGTAAATTTTGTCAGAGCTTTATCAACCAATAAGCACAGCGATTAGCCTCCCTAAAATAAAAAATGAGAGATCTTATCAAGCCTACATAAATATGGAGAACGACTTCGGATACAGTTAATATATCTCTAAGGATGTTCTTCTTCCATTGGTCTCTATCTCAATCAGTCTAAAACCTTCAGATTATCCTACCAATTTGGGAAAGATAAGAACAAGCCCAATTGCCCAATCTACGTCGAACATTTAGTGCATGACATATTGACTAATGAATAATTGAAGTGCTATGTGAAATATCTTATGATTTTTTTGATCAAATATGAGACTACAAATTCATTACTTGTTTTATTGTTAGAGCATGCAAATGCATTACGTCGAAATATCAACCTTTTGTGTTTCGTAAAATAAAAAAACATGCTCGTAATATATTATTTAACTATCTGTCATTGATTACATGGATATTTTTCACCATTGAGTTCTGTATAAAATAATATCCTTACTTAAATCAAGAACAATTTTCGGAAAATAATTAATCACCATGCCAACTTTTATTTACCTTGCTGTCTTTTTATTTACATGGATCATGATGGAGGACTAGTGTAATAATCCTTGGAAATGCTTTCCGTAATGCAAATTGTATTGCTCAAGTGTACAAAAGAATGATTTATACATTCTTGCAGATGAAGCAAAGAAGTTTTGTTCAAGTGGTAATTTGTCATCTCGATTACCGATAGCAAGATCCTGCAGTCAAAGAGGAAAAGATTACTCCAAGTTCTACGGAATAGTTGATGAAGAAGAAGAAGAATCTATCTTTTGATCATGTTCATGTTTGAAACACTGCAGCATCAAGTTTGAATATGGCTTACAAGCCACTCGAACTGAATAGATTACACAAATCTATAACTCGAATCTGGTAGAGAACTCAATCAAACTGTCACTCTAAAAAGTGTTGGTGATATGTAGTGTGGCTCTTGTTTGAGTTCAGTGTGCAGCTATATGTCTCGTTCTTGAAGTTATGATAAATGACTGAACCAAATTCTGCTAGAAAGCAGATGCAGCAGATGATGCAGTACTTATGCCAATCTCTAGAAAAAATAGTCTGAGAACACTCTTAATTATCTACTATCTACTTGGAACTTTTGTTGTACTATGCAAAAGGCATGAGATAAAATTCATCTTACTAGCTACCATAGGACTATTTGGTTGGTACTCTAATTCATGTAGTTGACACCCAACTAGAAGCAATAAATAGCACAAATAGGGGTATCCTGAATGAACTTCTCATATTGCTGGATTAGAGAAGCACTTCTCTTCCGCAGATACTGTAAAGCAAAAGAGACTGGTGTGACTTTTCTGCACAAGCATTTAAAATTTGATATGTTTCATTATCTAGATCTCCAGGTAGCTTCAGTATAGTCAAAATTGTGGTTTGTTGTAGATTGAAAGCATTTATAATGCCAAAGAAGTTTCTTTCCTATGTTTCTTTTAGAGCATTAAAAACTTGTCCTTTTGGTGAATTTTGTCAAGCCTTATCTACCAGAACAAGATCCGTGATAGGAATTTTGTCCTTTTGTAAATGTATTAGTTCGCTGGTGCAAACTCTTACAAGTTATTATAATGCTTGTTGATTAGGGGAAGAACTTCTATCCTGAAGATTGTACAAAGCAAAACAAAAATTCATGTAAGGTTTCAGTTGAAGGACAAGAAGGTTTTGATGTGCTGCATCATCCAAACTTAGAAGAAAGTTTCAACATAGTCAAGCCTTGTCCACAAGGAGAAAATTCTACAGTATAATAGGTAGATTAATTCATCTAGTGCTGGTAAGTTTAATGGTGCATGCCATTACTACTACTAGTAGATGATATGGTGAACTGCGAGCTGCATAAGCTGAAGGGAGACGACACAAAAGCTGGAAATAGATAAACTCAAGTTAAGACTTTGACAAACTCTCTCTCTACTAAGAGCTGAAGATATGTGGTGTTCAATTTGTAGTTTTTGGAGAATTCTCAGTTTGATAAATACTGTTCTTAACAGTATAGCTAATGAAGGAACAAGTCATGATAAAATGGAGATGAAGATGCAACAACGTCACCACTTGAAGCTTTGTGCCAATTTCTTCTTTGTGCCAAATGGAGATGAAGGAACAAGTCTTTTATATTTCATGTCACGCAGAAACTCCATAGAAATTCTGATGATTTGTGCCAATTTCTTCGATAGAATTCTTAGGATATTCTTAGTGTCTCATCTCCATTACAGCAATGTTCATTCTGAACCTTACAAGTAAATGGTTGAAGCTAATTACCACTTGAAGCTTGCAAAAGACATGACATGGAAAAATCTGATATGAATGCTAAGTAAAAAGATTGTGTGGGTCACGCATGAACACAACAGTATCATCTCACTACTGAGCATTGGTATCACGTTGTTGTTTTCATTGCTGCAGTTGACACGCAACTACAAGCAATAAATAGCATACATGGTCATGATCTTAGAAAAACAGAGTTGTTTTTGTTGTTTTCTCATCAAGTCTTTCACAGGAACATGACACTGATATTAGATAAATAGCTCACTTTGCAGTACAATGTGAGACAATTAGGTATCTCAGAGTATTATTATCAAAAACTTACTGCATGAACAAAAGAAAATGAAACCATGTCCTTCAGTTCATCATATGCCAACAAATTTCTTCATCCACAACCTCTTTCTTTGTCTCCATATGCTATTTTGTTCTAAGAACTAAGTGTTCACACGTTTACAAATCAAAGTATTGATTTTTCTTCTTGTTTTGATCCAATATAGAAAACACAATTAAGTCAACTGAACTGTTGAGGTTGCACTGATTCTTGAGAAGGATGTAAACATCAGCAGCAGAGACGATCTCTGTACGAAAGAAAAAGGAAGGACGAATCATGATGACAGTATTCTCTCTGAGGATGATCTTGTGAGTGATACGAACAAATTCACCAGTTATGATCGTGAACATGAACTACTTTTTTCCATCAGAGAGAGACTTGATCCCATTTACACTTCCTTCTATCCCTTGTTTACTTAATCATCCTGCCGTGTCTCCTTTTAATGCCTGTTGTATCAAAAGGATGGCAGTATTTCCATTATTCAATCACCTCCTTATTTACATGATTTCTACACACATCTGTATAATCTTCCTTATTGCCTTTGCTAAGGTATTATATCCATGTATTGAAGTTGTTGATACTTGTGTTCTAAGTATCAACAAATGCACTGAAGTCACTTTCAGAGCTGCAAGATGGAACGCTAACAAGCGTCAAGAACATGGTAACATATCTCCAGCAATCATCACCTGTTCTTTTTAATTATCTAGCTTGATCATGAATGATCTTATCATCTAACAAATATTCATGTCCAAACTTGTGCTTATACATTATGTTTCATTGTCTATAATGCATCCCAGCAATGCCACTCTGTTCCAAGTGTTTTGTGCTTGGAAGTTTCAGTACAGAAAGCAGGTGAGTGATTCTTTTATGCCTTGTATTTGTCTGTATGGCACACAACTTATCCACACTCATTAATCATACCCAACTTTAGCAAGTGAGGATCAATAATTACCTACCTGCTCACTCTGAGCTTACAGAAACAAGAATAATTCTGATTCCTATGTTTTGGACTACCTGATTTCATGAAGTAATTAGTTGTCCACCTACCTACAATTACTGCTTAGGCCATCTTTATGATTTATGGGTTACAATTAGCCATTTATGATTCCAGTATTACAATCGCTGTGTATGGCATTCATTGAGATTCATTTACTGGTAAGTACTTTCGACAGCAAATTGTGAGTTCAACAAAGATTTTGTTCTCTTCAAACACTAAATTACATGTCATTTGATGGTTAAGAATCTAATCTTCTCTTAGAACCTCATAATCTAGTCCAAGATTCTTTTTGTGATTGTGACCACAAAGACAGTAAAATTTGGACACGGCTTCATTGTCATCTCATTCTTCTCACATGACCTCTGCAGCTGGCAGATTCATCTCAAACCAAGTCTCTTTCTTGTGGCAGAACATCACAATGCGAAACTCAATCTGATAAGCACTCAATTAAGTCTTCGTCTGCTGCATTGTATCACTTCAAGTTGGGTCCAGAAGATACTGAGGTTGGCGAAAGGATATGGCATTAAAAGAGGGAGTGGTGAATGCTGAGAGCATTGTTCTTCACAAGTAAGCATCAAGGTTGATCCTTTGCAAACGTAATTCAATATGCAACATAAATATGCTTAGTTGGAAGTTAGAACAAGTCATATGGATCTCACACAGACATGAGATGCATCATGAGGCACAGACAAGCCTTGGAGAAGAAGATTAGGCACCTTTGACAAGGACTTCAAAACACAACACAAGCTTTCAACTCACCTACAGACTGGTGGTGAACTTGCTCTACAAATTATTGACAAAGTCAATTGTCCTAACGATGCTTACGTATACCTACTACGGATAACGAAACCCATGGAATCTTTAGCGAAGGCAGCATCATGGAGGCCATCAACTTGCATGCACCAAACCACTATATATGGACCTCACATATGCTGCAACTACTCAGACGGCACATCGACAAGAGTCCTCTGTCCATAGCTGCAGCTATGAGCTTCGCTGTGACCAGAACAAACCGGTCCTTCATCGTTCCATGCGAGGCGACGCCGAGAGGCTCGCTCGGCCTCTCCGTCATCGACCGGGTGCCCGGCCTCAGGCATATGGTGCGGTCGCTCCACGTGTTCAGGCACGGCCGGGAGCCGGCCAGGGTCATCGGGGAAGCACTGTCGAAGGCGCTGGTGAAGTACTACCCCTTTGCCGGGCGGTTCGTGGAAGATCCCGACGACGGCGGCGAGGTTCGTGTCGCTTGCACTGGCGAGGGCGCTTGGTTCGTCGAGGCCAAGACGGACTGCAGCTTGGAGGACGTGAAGTACCTCGACCTCCCGCTCATTATCCCTGAGGACGCACTCCTGCCCAAGCCCAGCCCGGAACTGAACCCCCTCGACCTCCCTCTCATGATGCAGGTAGCGTGTTAGGTTTACTGATCAGTGAGCGAGAACGAATGGTTACGCTCATCTGATCGACCTCTTACGACAACAAGACTTCACTCCTCTGCTTTCTCAGGTGACAGAGTTCGGGGGCGGTGGATTTGTGGTCGGCCTCATCTCCGTCCACACCATCGCCGACGGCCTCGGCGCCGCCCAGTTCATCAACGCCGTCGCCGAGATCGCCCGCGGCCTGCCGAATCCCACCGTGGAGCCTGCATGGTCCCGGGAGGTCATACCTAACCCACCTAAGCTGCCTCCCGGTGGCCCGCCCGTGTTCCCTTCCTTCAAGCTGA